GGACGTGTTTCCTATCAGATGTCAAATAGACATCTAGAAGATGTCCATAAGATGTTTATGATTTATAATGTATGTAAAACTGACATCTTAAAGACGTCTATCAGCTGTTTGTTCACAGCAGATGCTTTTCAGATCTTTAAAGGGGTCATAGGATGCGATTTAAAATTTTCCTTTCTCTTTGGAGTGTTACAAGCTCTTGGTGCATAAAGAAGATCTGTAAAGTTGCAAAGACTAAAGTCTCAAATCCAAAGAGATATTCTTTATAAAAGTTAAGAGTCAGCCACGTCTACCTAAAACGCCTCGTTCTAACACGCCCCCACATGTCTACATCACTATGTGGGAAGATTTGCATAACGCTGCCCAAATGTTCACGCAAAGAAAGAAGCGTAACTTTTATTCTCGCTGTAGTATTGTTGCTGCCGCCGCCATGTCGTGGAAGCGCTGTGTGTTTCGTACACCGTTCAAACTAGGCTGCTTATGTTGAAGTGTTTGGGATGTGGCTTTTAATGAGGAGACCTTTTTTGTAATCAGGCTCTCAAAAAGTATATAAAAAATTGGATATAGATTTATCGGCCAACATATCGGTTATCGGCTTTCAAAAATAAAGACTTATCGGTTATCGGTATCGGCCAAAATTTTCATATCGGTGCATCCCTAAATACGATATGAGTCAAAAGTAAATGTCGAGCAGACAGAGGTCAGAGCATTGTGAAACAAAGCAACAGACATATTTTGCACATTGCACGTCAGTTTTTTTCATAGATACTGCATACAAAACCGTCAGTCATGTTATATGAAGAGCTTAATGTAAAGCCATTCTCATATAGACCGGTTCCTTTCAAATAATGAGCTTGTGTTGATTTGGTACTGTAGTGAGCGCTTAAATACTGTCCTGTTAGCGGCGGCGTGATGCTAGCTCAGCCAGTATGGGACTCCATTGTGAAATCTCACTGTGTTTCATTGGCTGACTCAGCGAAGGTCAGCACTTTTTATTGTCCGTGTTGAGGCCGTGTCTAATGTCTTTTACCATGCCAAGATTATTTGCCTAGTTTCTGCACAACTTATAATCCTTTACTATCTAAAAGTGGTTTCCATTTACAATAAACAACAGCAAACATCATCATTGTAGCGATGAGTCGGGCATGACCAGTTCTGTAATTTATTAACTTCAGATTGAATTAGTGATAATAAGTACATTGTACATACAATTTCAATGTAAATAAGTACATATTCGTTAAAAAGACACCTAATATAGAGTGGGTGCACCTGTATAAGCACGATAGTAGTACAATACAATAAATATAATTTGTGGTATAGTTACAGATTTGGGATACAGCTGGACAGGAGAGGTTTCGCACGATCACACAGAGTTACTACCGCAGCGCCAATGGTGCCATCATCACTTACGACATCACGAAGAGAGCCTCTTTCATGTCTGTGCCCAAGTGGATGGAGGATGTGCAGAAATATGGGGGTTCCAACATTGTTCCTCTGTTAATTGGTGAGTGCAATGAGTGTGTCTGACATGCTTCCTTTATGAATTCTAATTGCTTTAAAGAAATGGATCACCCTAGAAATTGAAATGAGCTGAAAATGTGCTCACCCTCAGGCCATCCCAGATGTAGATGAGTTTGTGTCTTCATCAGATTTGGAGAAATGGAGCATTGCATCAGTGTCTCGGCAGTGAATGGGTGCCGTCAGAATGAGAGCTGATCAAAACATCACAATAATCCACAGCACTCCAGTCCATCAAGTCTTGTGCAGCCAAAAGCTGAAACAAATCCATCAAGACGTTTTTAACTAAAATCGAGTGCATACTTCTCCAGTGAAAAAGTCCATCTTGTCTGAATCAGGAGAGAAATCTGACCAGATCAAGAACCTTTTCAGAGCAAAAACAGTCCAAAACATTGTGATGTTTTTATCAGCTCTCATTCTGACGGCACCCATTCACTGCTGAGACACTGATGCAATGCTACGTTTCTACAAACCTGATGAAGAAACTAACCCATCCTGATCTGGGATGGCCGGAGGGTGAGCACATTTTCAGCAAATGTGCTGTTTGGGGTGAACTATTCCTCTAAAGAAACTGTTTTAGGAAAGTCTCGTGATTAAATCTCTTCCAATTCTTTTTGCATCCCAGGTAATAAATCAGACTTGCCCGACTTGCGTGAAGTTCCACTTGAGGATGCACAGACCATGGCTCATCAGCTGGATTTTGTTAGTGCCATCGAGACTTCAGCCAAGGACTCTAGCAATGTGGAGACCTTTTTTGTAATCAGGCTCTCAAAAAGTATATAAAAAATTGGATATAGATTTATCGGCCAACATATCGGTTATCGGCTTTCAAAAATAAAGACTTATCGGTTATCGGTATCGGCCAAAATTTTCATATCGGTGCATCCCTAAATACGATATGAGTCAAAAGTAAATGTCGAGCAGACAGAGGTCAGAGCATTGTGAAACAAAGCAACAGACATATTTTGCACATTGCACGTCAGTTTTTTTCATAGATACTGCATACAAAACCGTCAGTCATGTTATATGAAGAGCTTAATGTAAAGCCATTCTCATATAGACCGGTTCCTTTCAAATAATGAGCTTGTGTTGATTTGGTACTGTAGTGAGCGCTTAAATACTGTCCTGTTAGCGGCGGCGTGATGCTAGCTCAGCCAGTATGGGACTCCATTGTGAAATCTCACTGTGTTTCATTGGCTGACTCAGCGAAGGTCAGCACTTTTTATTGTCCGTGTTGAGGCCGTGTCTAATGTCTTTTACCATGCCAAGATTATTTGCCTAGTTTCTGCACAACTTATAATCCTTTACTATCTAAAAGTGGTTTCCATTTACAATAAACAACAGCAAACATCATCATTGTAGCGATGAGTCGGGCATGACCAGTTCTGTAATTTATTAACTTCAGATTGAATTAGTGATAATAAGTACATTGTACATACAATTTCAATGTAAATAAGTACATATTCGTTAAAAAGACACCTAATATAGAGTGGGTGCACCTGTATAAGCACGATAGTAGTACAATACAATAAATATAATTTGTGGTATAGTTACAGATTTGGGATACAGCTGGACAGGAGAGGTTTCGCACGATCACACAGAGTTACTACCGCAGTGCCAATGGTGCCATCATCACTTACGACATCACGAAGAGAGCCTCTTTCATGTCTGTGCCCAAGTGGATGGAGGATGTGCAGAAATATGGGGGTTCCAACATTGTTCCTCTGTTAATTGGTGAGTGCAATGAGTGTGTCTGACATGCTTCCTTTATGAATTCTAATTGCTTTAAAGAAATGGATCACCCTAGAAATTGAAATGAGCTGAAAATGTGCTCACCCTCAGGCCATCCCAGATGTAGATGAGTTTGTGTCTTCATCAGATTTGGAGAAATGGAGCATTGCATCAGTGTCTCGGCAGTGAATGGGTGCCGTCAGAATGAGAGCTGATCAAAACATCACAATAATCCACAGCACTCCAGTCCATCAAGTCTTGTGCAGCCAAAAGCTGAAACAAATCCATCAAGACGTTTTTAACTAAAATCGAGTGCATACTTCTCCAGTGAAAAAGTCCATCTTGTCTGAATCAGGAGAGAAATCTGACCAGATCAAGAACCTTTTCAGAGCAAAAACAGTCCAAAACATTGTGATGTTTTTATCAGCTCTCATTCTGACGGCACCCATTCACTGCTGAGACACTGATGCAATGCTACGTTTCTACAAACCTGATGAAGAAACTAACCCATCCTGATCTGGGATGGCCGGAGGGTGAGCACATTTTCAGCAAATGTGCTGTTTGGGGTGAACTATTCCTCTAAAGAAACTGTTTTAGGAAAGTCTCGTGATTAAATCTCTTCCAATTCTTTTTGCATCCCAGGTAATAAATCAGACTTGCCCGACTTGCGTGAAGTTCCACTTGAGGATGCACAGACCATGGCTCATCAGCTGGATTTTGTTAGTGCCATCGAGACTTCAGCCAAGGACTCTAGCAATGTGGAAGAGGCATTTAACAAAATGGCCAGTGAGCTCATTCTCAGACATGGCGGGCCCATGTTCACTGAAAATGTAACAGACAGCTTTAAACTCAACAGCAAGGATGTGACCAATGAGGGCTGGGGATGTGGGTGTTGATGACTGTTCAGAAAGCAATAAAAAGCTTTGGTTCTTACCACTCACTCGGTTATATAAATTGGGTCCTGTCAGGCAGATGCTGAATTTGAAGCGGGAGACGCTGAAGATACATTTCTAGGAGTGGCTTATAAAAGACCCACAAAACGGCACCATGTGATTTTATAAACCTACAGTTGAACGTAACAGTGAAGACGCTGGGTAGAGACCAGTTTGATTGCCAAGCACAAAATTGCCACGCTTTATTTAAAAATCATAACCAGCCCAAATTTATTTTCAAAACCCAGTAAAAAACAATTTGTTTCTCCACTGAACGCAAAATTGCTGTGCGACATGACACAATCAGCCAATCAGGTCGTGTTTGATGTTTAATGTGCAGTTATGTGTAGCAAGACTTTGGACAAATGAGATTTCACAATGGGCGGGGCTTCCTAGAGCAACAACTAACAAATAGAAACCAAGCTGTTGATAAAATATCCTATCGCTTGTTGGACCGGCTGTTAAGATTACACATGTACAGTAGGTGACACATGTACATCTCAGCAGAAGTTTTGTACTGTATGTTTTGGTTGCCCGTGGAGCTTATCCGGGAAAGATAGCTCAGGTGTGTTTGATTAGGGTTAGAGCTAAACTCTGCAGGAAAGTGGATCTCGTGGGCCAGATTTGAGGATCCCTGGTCTAAGACACAGTCTATTATAAAAAGGCAGACTGATAGCCCTTGCAATCCAGGGGTGCAGAAGAGTAGCTTCCAGAAGGTCACAGATTCAATCCATTGTGTGCTTCTGCCACAGTTTTGCCCTTATTTTAATCACCCCACATCAGTCTACAGCTGGAACACTGTAATTTCATCACCTCTCATGCCTCTCGACTCACACTAGAGAGTAGAACATGCACATGAGCTTCTGAAAAAATACTGTTGGACCACGAACACCTGACAGTTAAAATGAAATCATGCAATCCAGTAAAGCTAAAAATGCCACGAGATCTTTAATGATCGCTCCTGTTTCCTCAGTTACGCATTGTGCTCATCTGTGGAGGTTTTCTCCATAAAACACATACTAAAATGGAAAGGCGGATTCATACAGACTGTTGATATTAAATCAATAACATCACTATATTTACGTCACTAAACTGCAGTCCCGAACTTCTCCATCTCAAAGATGAGCTGGACAGCAGCGTCCACGTCCTCGGCGATCTTCTCTGGCTCCACCAGAGCCGGGTCGAAGCGGAAGTCGCGGTGGCCGTGGAAGACGGTCTCTTTGATGCACTGGTTGGCGTCTTTAGGTAACTCCATGTGGGGGTTGTAGACGCCTGTGCACACCAGGATGGACTTGCAGGACGTGGCGGAGGGCGACGCAAGCTCACTTTCCCAGCCGTTGTCCATGTCCACCTCCTGAGGGACGCTGGCGGGCGTCCCTGCTCCAGTCACCATGTTCGCCACTGCTTTGGTGGACTTCCTGGCCAGCCGTTCATCGAGGTAGCGGTTGTAGAGGTTGGCACCATAAATATCAGTCATCAGGTTGTCCCTAATTGCATATAGAAGATTAGCAACAGATTAGGGCTGCACGATTATGACAAAAATCACAATTGTCGATTATTCCCTTGAAATTGTAACTGCAATTATTAATTACGATTATCACAATTTACATTGAATGATGTTTATACCATTGTTTGATGCAACTGCATGCCGTATTTTTATATGAAAATAAACAAGCTGAAAACACTCTAACTGAAAAACCTTTAGTGCTTTTCTACAGTATTAAGCCTCAAATGTCAACTAAACATCGGATTGGTTTCTTCTTTAAATTATAAAAAAAAAGTAAAAATATGAATGGTATTATAATGTTATACTAAAACTAAAACAATGGAAAAACCCTTAAGATAACATGTAGAAAGAAAAAAACATATCTTAAGCATGCAGAATAACATAAGTTGACTTTGAACGATTAATTGCCGCTTTGAACGATTACGTAATTGTGGCATCCATAATTGTAATCGCGATTAGACATTCGATTAATTGTGCAGCCCTACAACAGATTTCATTCATTCCTAAAAATGTCCATTTCAAGAATTGAATAGACACGTTTGGTATTCTGTTTTGTTTTCTGTCATGGTTGATTTGATGTACATTTATTCTCAGTGTTGGGGAAAGTTACTTTTAAAAGTAATGCATTATAATATTGCGTTACTCCATAAAAAAAAGTAGCTAATTACGGTACTTAGTTACTTTTTATGGAAAGTAATGCGTTACGTTACTTTTGCGTTACTTTTTAAATCTGGACAGGGCTTGCTTGCTTGTTTTTAAAATAAAAAAGTTATATTTCTGGCAAATATAAAAGCCTTTCACACCAAAAGTGAAATGAATGCGCCTCAGGCTGAAGGGAAAGTACAGTAGAATGCAGAAGAAGACATTTCAACACACTTCAGCAATAAACAAAGACACACAGATGTTTGTCTAGAGTAATTTGTGCTTATTAGTACGCTTGAACTGCATCATCGAAGCTCAGAAGCAAAGACATCGGTTAATAGAATGGGATTAAATACATAAAGCATATTTTATTTGTGTTGTTTAACATTTAATTATTGCAGGTTTGTGTCATATTCTGAGTTGCATTATTTTTATTCATTTTGAGGAATACTGAATCTGTGTGTTTTGTGAGTGAGATGAATTAATGCATATTCATATTTATTTTAGAGCTACAGTAACATCTTCTGATTTCTGTCACCATGGCGACACCAGAGCTGTCAATCTATAAATTGGAAAAAAAAAAGTAACTTGCATTACTTATTTGAAAAAGTAACTCAGTAACAAGTATTCTCTTGTAACTTAAAAAGTAATGCGTTACTTTATTTACTTGAAAAAAGTAATCTGAATACGTAACTCGTGTTACTCATAAATGTATGTATTCAGTTGTTCAAAATTGCATAAGGAAAGAGATAAGAGTAAAGAGTAAGAGTAAGATCAACACAGCACAGCTGTTGCTTTGTGAATGACTTCACCGGTCATGTTTCCAGTGGTTATGTCGTTTTAATGTTCTGATGTAAAAATGTGGCCACTTTATGTCACTTTCCTCCTCATTTTTTTTTAGTCAAGAATGGCATCAAATTTAGCTTTCTGCTATACGGTTCTAGAGGGCAATAGCCTTTCAGCAAGAAAACTAAAAGATATCTACAAACTTTCTGTGCTTGGCCTCTAAATATTACTGTCCCCTAAAATTTTTTTCTTGAGGCCATGCATTCATAATAATGCATTCTCCAGTGAAAAAGTGGTCTGGTCTAAATCAGGAGAGAAATCTGCACAGATCAAGGTTTACAAGCCAAAACAGCTCTAAACAAATATATGGGAGTTTGATGTGAGAGAACAGGACTTTTTCACTTTATGAAGCATTATGAATTATGGACTCATATTTTAGCTGGAAACAACAGTTTGAAGTTAAAAACGTCTTGATGAATTTGTTTATTACTTTCACGCAGCTTTTCGCTGTGCATGAATTTAACTGATGGACTGGAGTGCTGTGGATTATTGTGATGTTTTTATCAGCTCTCGTTCTGACGGCACCCATTCACTGCAGCGCATCCATTGCTGAGACACTGATGCAATGCTACATTTCTACAAATATTTCTCCAAATCTACATCTTGGATGTCCTGAGGGTGAGTACATTTCCAACAAATTTCCCTTTTTGGGTGAACTATTCCTTCCTCCATTCACACAGAAAGTTTTTTAGTTTTTTTTAAGGGAGATTAATGTTTGATTGGACACATCTATAATGG